CATGGGGTCACGAAGAGTCGGACACGACTTAACGACTGAACAACAACAACCTGTAATCCAGGTTTATAGCTAATAATAAGTACAATTAAGAAATTATTTTTATCAACAGTGCTCTCTAAGAAGGGAAAAGCAACAATGAAAATTCCAAGTTAGAATTTCTGTAGCTGGAATATATCATTGGATATTTCTTAGTGCATCCTGAACTTCGCAAAAAGTGAAATATGTCATGCTGCCTGTATGCCAACTTTATCTAGGATTCGTTTCACAGCTTTAAGTATATGCAGTCCTGTATATTGAATCCTATATATATTCTACATATTACTATTGCTGTTAGAATTTTCACGCTTAATAGATTTGCTAATTGATTTTCATTCCTAGCCAGGTTATAGAATCCTCTTTTTACAGATCTTTTCAGTTCATAAATTTGAGAGCTGAAAATACTCCATGAAATAAAAATAGGATGGTATTGTGGACAATTACAAAAGTGTCTTCTGGAGATGTATACAAGATGTTCAAATGCAATGGGGCGCCAGATCAGTAATTTCTCACAAAAAGCATGGTGAGAATAATCTTTCTCCTAAAACAAGGCACAAGGATGAGTAATAACTTTTTATGCATGATAAGCATCAAAAATATGAGCCTGCTGGTCTTTGCTTTTCATTTTTCTTTACCTTTCTCTCAGTCAGAACCTCCTGCAGCGAGCATACAATGTGATCAATAACTCAATAACTTTTTTCATGCAGTAATTATCTCTGTGCGGTATTATCTGAACACTGTTTTTATTTATTACCCAAAAGATGTAGGAGATATTTATATAACCAGCTGATCCCATTTTGGACGAAGCTGTTTCTAACCGCAGGGGAAATAGTTTATATAAAATAGTATTTTAAATAACTATTTCATAGAAAGCTTTCTAATAGTTCTTGTTTGAATGTAAAAGTAATATTGAGTAGTTTTTCTTTAATAAAATAGTGTTTATGCGTATGAATATATACATCAATGCGATGTCTGATTTTAAGCAGCCAATATCAAAAAGGAAAGTTATCTGTTATATTAACAGCTACTTTCATTTTTTAGACTGAGATCTTGCAAGAATCTCGAATGATGATTCCTGATTGCCAACGCCGACTAGAAGCTGCACATTCTGATCTTGTTCAGCTATTAGTAAGTATGGAAGAAGAATCTTTCTGTAGGACTGGCAGTTGAAGAACAGTTTAATTTATATATCTTCTGTTTTGATACATTGCTAGACTGTTAATATGCACAACTCATTATTGCCAGCTCTTCAAAATAGATGTCTTTTAGGCACATTAAAAGTATGTATATTTAAGAACAAAGTTGGCAGTTCCTCAGAAAAAATATAGTTCTTCAGACTTAATTATGTTAAAACAGTCAAAATAGTCTTCCTCCCTCCAAAAACTTGGCCTCTGATTTTCAGTGACAAGAACTTCCACTACAATCAATCAACTAATGCTCAGTGTGATATTTTAATCAGTTAATGTTTAAATTGAAATAGTGTTGATATAAAATGTGTGAAATGCAGCGGGTGAAATGTCAAACCTGGCTTGAGGTAAGCAGGTTCAAATTCTAACTCTGGCACACAGCTTGAGGATGTTTTGAAAATATGGTGGCGGTTGGAGAGAAAATTATATATGTGGTATTTGGATAAAAGAGAAACAAATAAGAGCATAATCAGTCACTGAACGTAGTTCCTCTATCATTCTTAAATGTGAGCTTTAAACAACCCTGTATTTTAGTTAGTCTTTAAAAGAAATAACTTAAATATTTGTAGTGCCAATTCTGTTGAAAATTGCCATAGGCCTACTTCTCAGAACGACTGCTCTAAAGTGTTGGAAGATACTAGACCCAATATATTTACAAATATAGATCTTGCTTCTTCTATTTTCCCCTCCAACTCTATTTCAGAGTTGTAAGCTAAAGGAAATTTTCTAACCCAGCATTCAGTGTTGATCGTTGCCATAGTTTTAGGAAACATTTTTTTAGTGTGGCCTATAGGACCATGATTTTGGATCATTTCCAGAAGCTCTTTCCTGTATCTCTATATTCTCTTGCTTAGTATCTTTTTTCTTTTCCTTTCTTCAGTCAGAGCAAAAAATCCAAATAGCTTTTTGGTATAATTAATGACAGTCTACATAAACAATTTATAAGTACATAGACTCAAAATTGTTGTAGGAGTCAGTCTTTTTTGGATCAGTGTATTACTTGTTCTCTTAAAGTATTTCATGTATTATTTTTTTATGCATGATTCCAAGTGAACTCCACAGTAGCTTAACCAGTATAGATTATATTATGTATAAATATATTATGTTTAAGTAGTTAAATTTCATACAGTATAACTATTGTAGCGTGTGATCTGTTATATTTTTATGTACATTACTCAAGAACAGTTTAATGTCACTTAAATCACCAGTCATAAACATAAATATTTGCAAACAAATATTTATAATAAAACATCATAGCAGAAACAGAAAGCAGAACCAATAGATCATTGGCTGAAATCTGTATAGAAGTTAATAAGAATACAAGATCCCTGTTGGTGACAAAGACATACCTTGCTTAGCATCCTGTTTTTGACAGTGGACAATCAGATGCCCTTGGGAAGCCTTCATGTAGGACATAAGAGTAATGCTTTCTCCTGCTGTTGTTTCCCAACAACTGATGTTCAGAGACATGTTGGCTATGGTCCAGGAGATACTGTACGGTCATCACAGCTAGTGTAGCCTTTAATGGTGTTATCCTCTATGAATTTCTCTAATTTTGTTTCAGATGTCTTAGGTTGATTGGCATCATCATGTGGCAGTATTAAATTCCACAATTTATACAGTGTATGAAAAAGCACTTCATTTTTGTCTTCTTGGAATTGAATTTAAATCTCCAGGTGATAAGTATCACTGGTTTCCTTTAAGTACAATAATGGTCAAGATGGACTTTTGTGGAACACCACATGAAAGGCCAGGCAGTACTGTTTTAAATTAACTGTAACAAGGCCCACAATTCTTGTCCTAGCCAGATGAGTCTATGATCTCATTGCTTATGGCTCCGAATGCCACTGGTACTAACAGCACCAATTTCCTGTGCAGTTCCTGGTACAGATGAATCACCAAGGCTATTTTTAGCCTATAACTATCTCAAGACTGTAGGAATTATCTAAACCCATTATTATAACTGTGAAAACTCTGGCTTTGAGCTGTGTCCATTTTCTACAGGCAACTTTAGTTTGATTCTTATATAACTACTTGGACTTTTGCATTTTTTAAATCTGTTGTGAACATCTTTTTAATCAGCTGATTTTAATTAATAGCATTTTGTTATTTGAAATGGTACAGATAGATGTTAATTTTAATCAAAATGTTTGCTTCTCTTTACTGCTTCATAAATTTAGGGTGGGGTGATAATTGACATTCTAGAAGTGCTTCGCTAAAATAGATTTTTCTTTCTTAGTTTTATTCCAGCCCATTTTCACTTGCAATTACAGTGGTACCTCTACTTACGAACTTAATCCATTCCATGACTCTGATCGTGAGTCTAGTTGGTCGCAAGTCGAAGTAAATTTTCCCATAAGGTTCAATGTAATTACTGTTAATCCATTCCGGCGTCCGCGGAACACGCATCATGGGCGGAAAAATGGCCGCGGACCACATGGAACGGGCGGGAAATGGCCGCAGACCACATGGAACGGGCGGGAAAATGGCCGCGGACCATGTGGAATGGGCGGGAAAATGGCCGCGGACCACATGGAACGGGCGGGAAAATGGCCGCGGACCATGTGGAATGGGCG